ATGTTATATAATGATGTGATAATGTCATGTGATGACGTGATGACATTATATGATGATGTAATGATTTTATATGATGACTTGATGACGTTAGATAATGATGTGATGATGTTCTGATGTACATGATGTTGACATGATGTTGATGATGCATAATAATAAGATGATGCGACACGTATGATAATGAAATGACTTAATATGACGATGTTTTTTATTAAATGTCACGATGCATTATAACAAAAAAAATTTAAAGACACAACCCTGAGGATTCACACTCGCACGTGTGGATCCATCCAATTTATCCGAGACTTGAGGTCATCCCTATGATGGTTTTTAAATGATAAGTCCCTAGATCATGACTTACATGTGTTTGCTTTCCCTGACCCCAATAGTGGGTCATTTACTGAGTATTTCTTAAAATACTCAAGTCATGAGCTACTTTTTTTTCGAGTAAAGGCAAGGTGTCTTTACTGAGTATTTCTTAAAATACTCAAGTCATGAGCTACTTTTTTTTCGAGTAAAGGCAAGGTGTCCCTGTACGGCTGGCGATGACATCGCAACTTGAGACCATGACAAATGCATAGGGTAGTCGCATTTATTTTTCTTAGACTTAGGCTAGAATAGAATGTTTTTAATATAAAGGTTTATTTATTTTCTTTAGTCTTTTATCGTGTCATTTTAAAGGTGTTTTCAAAAAACGTAAGTCCATGACTGTGTTTAAAGATGAAGGTTATGTTTTATGATGAAGTTTTTAAATGTTTAATTTTGCATACGAGTTTAGATGATGATGACGGTAACAACTCGAGATAAATGGAAATTTAGGGTCGTTATACCTCATGTATCATTGTGTGTTCATGCATCGGGGATACCCCTTCATCTTTTACGATGGTATGAATGCATACACTACAAGACAAGAAAACTATCATTATATTTGTTATAATGCTACGAAATTCAATATTCCTAACGGGTGTCTTACATCAACAGCTCCTAGATAATGCTCGTCTGACAAGAAAGGGGCCCAAGAGGTGTGCGAACCAACTGGTGAGTCCATACTCGTACGTGTAGACCGTATGTAAAATAGTAAATACACATCAAATTAACCCGCTTAGGATAGCTACGGTCGTTACAGATTCTAAACACATAAAAAAAATGAATGTCAAAATTGTCTTTATTTGATTTGTTGTTTAATTTTGCATCAACTTTGAATGTCTTCACTTGTTTATCTCTCCAATATCCAGGGTCACCTTAGAAAGTGACGATTCTTAATTAAAAAGAAGGAGAACCTCTAACGATCTATTGCAAGTCGAAGGCCAATGATTTAGGTAATAAGGGTGTTGCATGATGCAAAATTTTCAACCACGCCTTCTTTATATATATATATATATCTACATTTATATAATTGATAGGTTTAAAAAAAAAAAAAAATCAACCATTGAAAGTATAATATACAACATAAAAAAAAAGTTATTATCGATATTCAACTTCTATGGCGATTTATAAAAAAAATAATTGTAGTTTGAATGTTAAATTAGAAGTTTAATACTTTAAGTTCAAAAGCCAAGAATTATTTAATACTTAATGGTTTATAGAACTTCATATATTCTCAACTTTGTAACTTAATTTGTACCCATCTGACATAAATTTCTAATACAAGGAGCATATCCTTCCATTCAAACAAGAATACTGTAACGACCGTAGATTTTTACTTACCTAGAGTCACTATCGTAATCATAACTTAATCATTTTGTGAAGAAATAAGCGTTTAAACTTTATCATAAAATTTAGACTTCATCTTAAAACACTGCAATAGAGTTACGTGTTCAAAAACATCTTTAAAACGACACAACAAAATATTAAATAAAATAAATTAGCATTATAGTTAAAAACACTCTATTCTAATCTAACTCTAAGAAAATAAATACTACTACCCTTTGCATGTTTCATGGTCTCAACGGCTATGTAGTTGTTAGTTGTATAGAGGTGTCTTGTCTTTACCTAAAATAGCAGTAGCACGTGACTTGAGTATTATAAGCAATACTCAGTAAGTGACCTTGGGGTTAGATGCAAACACATACAATCATGTGTAGGACATGTTGTAAAAGTCTATATTCCTTATGTGTCTATACTAAACGAGTTAATGGGAAGTGTATTTACTGTTCTACAAACGATCCACACCTGCCAGTATGAACCCACCAGTCGGTTCGCACACCTCCTAGGCCCCTTTCATGGTTAGACGAGTATTCTCTAGAGCTATTGATGTCGGACACCGTCAGACATAGCGACTGTCGTAGTATTATAATAAACATAATGATCATTTTTCTGCCTCGTCATGTACGTGTTCGTATCATCGTAAAAGAGGGATATTCCTGGATGCATTAACATACAATGATGCATGAGATTCCAACATTTTTATTCATTATCATGAAAGACAACCCCTTCCATTTTTCATTCATATCATATAATTTTTATTATAGTTTCCTTACATAAATTGGGGTTGTGCATTATGTCCATACATTTGTGTCGTATATCATTCATATCGTGCAACATGTCATATTATGTCATATCATACATACATCATGTCATCAACATATCATGTACTATATCGCAATACGTGATATACCATAACATTTATCATATCATTAGTACATCATCATATCACGTGTCATAACATTCACGTATCATCTCATAGTCACGTTGTATCACTAATATATCATGGAATTATCATCTCGTAAACATATCATAGTCATATTGTTTTTGTAAACACATCACAGTCATATCATTTCATAAACAGATTCTTATCACATCGTTTCATAAATATATCCCAATCATATCATTTCATAAACGTATCATAGTCATATCATTTCATAAACGTATCATAGTCATGTCATTTCATAAACAGATTCTTATCACATCGTTTCATAAATATATCCCAGTCATATTATTTCAAAAACATATCCCAGTCATATCATTTCATAAAGATATCTTAGTCATATCGTTTTATACACACACCATAGTCACATTGTTCCGTAAACATTTCACACATATCAAGCATATATCACGTATAGAACCACAAGACACATATCATCATACAAACTTCAACTTTTAACCAAACCGATAGTAAGGTCACTTACTTGGTTTGCATTAGCAAGCATTCTCCTTATACTCGAGTACAATTGACAATGTGAATTTTAGATATCGACCTTAAGGCAAGTGCTACATATTAATTCATGTCATATTACTCGGTTCAAAACTACTAAATAATTTTATATTTTATATTTTATTTTTTTTATTACAATTATTATAAGTTACAACTCCTCTAATAGAGTTGAGTTTGAGTTATGTCAAAGTTGAAAATGAAAAATGTTGTCATTTGTTAATAAAAAGTGAAAATAAAAACTCATACAATTATGCTATAATTTTACTTATGAACTTTCCTTGGAATATCATATTCAAATTAAGTCCTTAATAGTCAATCACTAGTAAATCCAAAATTGAATTATTATCCTCCCGGAACAAAGAAATTTCATGCGCTGTTCTTAAGAGCCTCAACACTGTCTCTGTTTTCCTCTATTTCATCAAAGTAGTCCTCTCGAGCATTTCCAGCCCACATCAGGGCAACCAACCAGAAGAGAGAAGAATCCAGGGATAGAAATGCACCACCACCCAGAAGACCAGTCTTAGCAGTCAGGCATGCTGTCTTGAGATTCTGATGAACATTGCGAGTCAAGTGAATTTTCTCGGTGATTGTAGGCCAAACGAGCAAAGTTATAGTCAACCCAGTTGTGAGCCTGGAAACACAGAGGTAGCTTGATTGATAACGTTTCCAAATCACTTTTAGGTAACAGTTAAGAGTAAAGGATGTGATTTGAAAAGAGAAATTACAGGGCAATGTTGAAGAAGATAGAGGAAGTGCTGCTCTTAAACATGGAACCTCGAGGAACGGGTTTTCCTTGGTAAGGATAGAACAAAGAGAGGTATCCTGCAGTTGAAGAAGCAAGAAGAAACCCAACGGAGAGATATCCCAGGGCCACAGTTGGGTCCGCTGGATACTGACAGATAACAGTGCCTTTGCCTGGGATGGGAGTTCTAGATGCAGGCTGCCTAGCAATCACAACAAGAAAGAAGGGAGTTCCAAATTATATGATATATTAAATTCAAATTTCAAGTCTGTAATGAATCCAAGAAGTCCAAGAAAGAACTATTCAAATGCACAATTTATGAACCGAAGCTTACCTTCTTGTTCTCAGCTACGACTCCATATATAAAGAATATCACACCTAAAGTTAAGACAGTAAGAGACATTATCTTGACAGACACGGCAACCAGATTTGTATCTTGACAGACTCGTAGCACGGAACAAGAAAGAAGGGAGTTCCAAATTACCAAAATACCTCAGAAGTTCCACTTAATTACAAAATTGTAATTAAAGAAAATCTGCAACCAGATTTGGTTGCAGAACCATCCCGCAGAAGAAAATCAATCGTATATCACATCCAATTGTTGGATTGAGCTGCTATTTGGATATGTTTAACAAGACTCAAGGGTCCGTAGATCCAACGGTTGTTGAAAACCAATGTCGGTAGCACCTTCATCGCTATGTCGTTTCATCGTTCAACTCTTTGCCTTTATTTGCTACCGTTTCTAATCTTTACTTGCTGCGAGTGCTAGCAGGACTCGTACGCTAGTAATCTTTGCCACTGGACTTAATGTTTCATCATAGTCTCGTCCATATTGTTGAGAAAATCCTCGAGCTACGAGTCGAGCCTTGTATCTCTCGATTGATCCATTCAGTCGATGCTTTATTTTGTAGACCCACTTGCAAGAGATGGGTTTGACATCTCCTAGTCTTGGCACTAGTTTCCAAGTTTGATTCTACTCCAGGGCTATAGTTCCTTCTTTCATTACTTCTGCCAAACTTAGTTTTATGATGCCTCTTCATATGTCTATGGTTCGCAAGCTCTATCTTCTACCATATCTGCATTTGCATACTTAAGATTTGGTCTTCGGATTCTATTTGATCGCCTAAGTTGTTGATGTGTCGTTTCATTTTTATCATATTCGCTTGATTGAGTCAGCTCTTGCTTGTCAATATCAATGTCACTTGGATCTTCAGGCGCATCAACATTTGATTGAATTTGCGTAGTTTGCTCCCCCATCATCTGTTGTAGAATTTCTTCGATCTTTGAATATGGTATGACTTTCTTCTCCGAGGACCACCATGAAAATGCTTCATCGAAAACTACATCTCTTGATGTATTGTATTTTCCACTTGTTATATCACAGCACTTCCATCCTTTCCTTTGATTTTCGTATCCAACAAATATACACTTGACTGCTTTCTTGTCAAACTTGCTACCTAGATGGTCAGGCACAAATACATAGCAAACACAACCAAATACTCCGAAGTAACTAACTGTAGGTTTCATGTCCCTTAGTATCTCAAATGGTAAGATGAATCCGAGCTTTGGTTGGGGAAACTTGTTGATCACATGGGCAGTAGTTCGCATAACTGTAGGTTTCTGGAGTTTGCGTTACTTCCGACTCCCATGTTACGACCCTCCGAATGGGTAGCTTCTCTTGGGCAATATGCAGGCAGAACATGGGACTCTCACGGTGCAACATAGTGGTGGAGGCCATAGGATGTGTTGATATACTTCCTTCTTCCACTTACTATAAATACTTTCTCTATTCACCTTGTTATTGACTCATGCAAATACCTTCCACACGATGTATCTCATATACCTTTTTCCTCCCACTAGATATTTTAGACGGTTGGGTATACTTATTACTTAGGTATATTCCGGCTAATTAAATATAACCTAAGTCTAAGTGATTTTTTCAAGTATAACATTTATACTAGATTTTTAACTATGATGTCTAGGTGATTATTCATTTAAAAAAAAATAATTACATCACTCACGCATGCTCATAAAACTGGGCTAACTAAGCTCAAGTACTGGCCCGATCTCCAGGTAGCAGGTGTTCCATAAACCATCAACTTAAGTACCTCCAGCCTTAGACAAGATCGTGCCAGGTGAGCCTTCTTGTAACCGCAGTTTTACAAGATATCGACCTATTTTAACTATTAAAATCGATCGTGCTTGGTTGTTAACCTTAAGTGAGCATGCATTTATCTTTGTTATAGATTTTAACGTCTAACTCGTTTTATGACGATGAAAATAACCTATAACATGCATCTAACATGCTTTATATAACAATTATATAATCATCCATTCCATGCAATAATATAACAATTTATATCTGTCACTCATGGATCCCTAAACATGCATACTACACATTATAACACTTATAACATACTTGTAATGCATGAAACATGCTTAGCCTATGGTGGGATTTTAAATCTATATGGCATACTTTATGTATATACATTTTCTATTTAGTTAAAACATACATTCACAATACATAATTAATTAAACACACTAAAGTGGATTGGTCTTGGCATTTTAAAGCAAGCAATTAACTAAATTATTACATTAATAATTAAAAATAACTTGAACTGTTCCCGAGGATCACGAATAGGCCGAACCAACCCTTAAAAACGTTGAACCGAACCCCAACTACTACCGTTGAGCTAGGTCATGAGACATTATGAAAATTAGACTAGGTGAAGGACCCGAACGACCATAATAGAAAATTAATTTCCATATTATACTTTTACTTTTTTTAATTCAAAATTTTAGAGAGCAATAACGGAGACTAGGTTTCAAGCATACTTTTTTTAATTTCCATATATTTTTCAAGCATCTAAGGGGCTTCAATATTCTCCAAGATAAATGAAGGTCAGTATATCACCAACTAAGAATCAAAGAGAAAGACATACCTAAAATTGCCTTCAGAATAAGGTATGATCACTACAAATTCACGATTGTCCTCTAGACTAACTAACGCCGTATTCAAGAACTTTCTTAACACATTTGTAATTATATTCATAGTTGATATCCTTATCTACTCTAATGGTATTGACAAGATTGCAAAACCAGCCGTTATACGCTAAGTTTTCTGATGGCAAGTTTTGGATTTTAGAGGTGGCCATCCTTGTGCATGTCATAACAAAAGAAGGAATTTTTGTAGACACGACTAGAGTGGAAGTAGTAATGAAAATGCCTTAACTGAACACGATCATAGAAGTCCGAAGTTTCATAAGGTTGGCAGGTTATTACATAAGATTTATAAAAAACTTCTCCAAAATATTACCACCTTTAAGCCAACTCATCAAGAAGGGTAAGATATTCACTTGGACATCGACATGCGAAAAGAGCTTCATGGAACTCAAGGACATGTTGGTATCAGCTTCAGTCCTTCCATTGCCAGACAACTTGTGAAACTTCTTGGAGCTAGCAACCGTCGTGTTCACCCATAAGATGTGGCATACTATGTTTATCGAGAAAGCATACAAGTATATATGGACCAGAAGAGCCTAAAGTATTTGTTTAAGTCTCGACCCGTGATCGCAGCCCAGCCTACGATTCGTGACTGATGCCTCGACCTGCACCTCGATCAAAGTCACCTGCACACGTGTTGCCCTCAAATTGTGCCATGATCGAAGTCACCTGCAAATGACTCCTTCGACGTGGTCAGCTTAGACAGCTCGGCTTGGGTTTTCGCGATCCCTTTGGCTTATTCGGCTCAGGTACTCAAATTTCAACCTAATTTCTACCGTTTTGACCCTCGCAAACCTGTTTTTAACCTCAAGTAAGCGAATCGATGTCGTTTTAATGTCATATTTCACAAATGTCAATTAGAAATATTATTAATTGTGAAATACTAACGAAAGGTGACAAAAGATCTAATAGGAAACGATTTCCCGTAATACTTTGGAGCAGCTTTTGAGAACTAGAGCCAACGATAATAATTTAGGGAGAACGCCAGCTAGGCCAATAAAGTAAGTGGCCTTACTATAGAATAGACTAGAGACTTGTTTGCTGTATGACGTATGTTATATGAGATATGATGTATGATGACATGTATGAGATATACGATGATGTTTGATGATGTTTGATGACATGCTATGATGATTATGATGTATTTGTTGGCATTATGATGGCGATATCTGTTGATTATGATGCATGATATTGTTACCATAATATGATGATGTTTTCTATGTTAAGTAAGATGTATGTTATGAATGTCATTTTGCATCATGTCGAGAATTCGACCTAGGACTCAACCCTACAAAATATGAGCAACGATGTTAAAGATGAATGTTTAATGCGCATGTATTACTAATAGTAATATAGAGATGAAACTAAGGTTGTGTTAAAAAGGCGTTTTAAGGACGAGAAATAGAGGGACTTCATGCATTTCTGTATGTACATAAGCATTGAGATTCTTCCCCTTTTATGATGACGAGTAAAAACCAGCATGTTACGATAATGACGGTGATGATGTCGAGTATGACACTCAGGGGTTCACTGACCTTTAGATGTTGCTACAAACAGCTAGCTCGACGATGATGGGTCCAAGGGGTGCGAACCGCCTAGGGATTAACAATCGCAAGTGTGGGTCGTGTGTAAAGAAGTACTATTCATCCAAGTTAGTCCGAAGGATTGTTACATGTGTTGGCATTTCTTCACGACCCCTATAGATGGAACACTTACTACATATTCTTCGAAATACTCAGGCCGTGTGCTAGATTATTTTACAGGTAAAGTCAAGGCATCCATGTACAGTTGACGGTGACATCACAAAGTAAAGACAATGGAATGTTCAGAAGATAAGAACATATTTAAATTCAAGGGGCGTCTTGCCTTTATGTGAAAAATGTAGTAGCACAAGGGTTGAGCGTTTTAAGAATACTCAGTAAGCGACCCCCTATTTGGGTTCTGATGCAAGAACTTGTGAATGCAATGACGACATCTATCATAATAGTTTATTTTCCTATAGTACTATCTTAATGGGCAGCTTGTATGTGTATCATATACTCTACACATGGCTCATATGTGCGAGTATGGACCCACCAGTCGGTTTGCACACCCTTGATCCCTTTCCTTGTCAGGCGAGCATGCTCTGGTAGCTCTCTATGCCAGATACCCATTGGAAGTAGTAGTCGTTACAACTATATTATGTAAAACGTAATGATAGTTCTCTTGTCTAATGGTGTACGCGCCCGTACAATCATGAAGGAATACGGGTATCCCCGAATGCAAGAGCACACATTAATGCATGAGGTCCCAATATTTTTCCATTTTCAACATTATTAAATATAACCCCTGCTTTCATTTTATTCATATCATATCAGTCATTCATGCTTATACGGGGGTTATATTTCATGCTATTTATCGTTCTTCATGTCATTCATATCATTCTATACATACAATTCACAAGACAGAACGTAATATTTTCATGATTTCAACATAACGTTTCATAATGCATAAACTAGCTAAATTTTATTATGCATAAAAACTTACTCCTAATGATTTAAACTGACTATGCCTAATTACGCATAAATCATTTAAATTGGATTCAAAAAATTTAACTTAAGCCTAGGTGTTAAAACTTACTTCTAATAATTTAAACCAAGTCTAATTATGCATAAAAACTTACTCCCAATAATTTTAACTAACTAAGCCCTATTATGCATAGAAACTTACTCCTAATAATTTAAACTAAGCCTAATACTGCATAGAAACTTACTCAATTTAAAATAGGTCAAATAATGCATAAATAATTTAAACTCGATTAAAAATATTTAACTAGCCCTACTAACTTTGAACGCTTTCTAAAAATTGAAATTAGGAGGAAAGAGTCCGAGCGAATCAAACCAAAATGGATCAACTAAAATTTTGGCCTTGAGCCATCAGAAAGTGTACTCAGAGTTGGTTGAGGATGATAAAATGAAGTGGGGGTCCTCCGTTTTATAGTGGAGGCCAACCCGACACTTCTAAGCTTTAGCAATGTGGCACAAAGTTTCTCTTCTGTTATTTCTTTTTTATTTTTTTATTTTTTTATTTTTTGTTCATACATCATACATGTCAAGAAGAAACTTTCGTCCACGAAAGTGTCTTAATATTGGAATTACTAGGGTACTTCTTGATCCCTTCCTCCTGTTTCCACATAGTTTCTTTCATTTCATAGTCGTGTAAAGATCATTTTCCTTGTACATGTTTTTTTCTATCTTTACAAGCATAACAAATAATCTTTAATGATATTTTTTACTAAAAAAAATTGGGCCAGTTTGTTGGTTTCATATTAGAATTGACCATCATGTTTTTTTAAGAAAATTGACCTGAGTTCTTTGCATATATCCCTTTTATGATTTTAACCTTTCCATTTTCAATTATTATACATATTTTCTTTTTGTTCTAATTTGTTACCCTTTCAATATTAAAACTTGAAATATTCCTTAATCTTGAAAGGGTTTTGAGTAGAGCCATACCCGAGTAAAAGAGAGTACATGAATGAACCAAGATTATATCCGATAAAGTGATCCAGAGTATATGAGAATGTTGGCCTATTCCACCACTCCTAAATGGTGTGAAAGTTATCT